CAAATATTATTTAATATTTGCATACAGAATTGTGATTGGTCTTGGATTGGTGTGTTCAGGTCATGTTGGAATGATCGTACTGTATTTGCAAATTGACTGCACATGAATACCACCATCATGTCATAATTACCAATAACAACAAGTTAAAGCTTTATTATTATTTTTGCTCATAATAGGATCAAAATGGTATTTTGTGTAATATTAATGAAAAATGGTGTTAAAGATTGACATAAATGACTACTTACTGAACATGTGCATCAATTACACATCTAATGTGCATCCTTTGCTCTTCCTTACGCTGCATTAATGCTAGAAAGCTTGCTTTCTTTGTTGGGAAGTGAAAAAGAGAGGGAAAATTATATTTGTCCAGCACATCCATTTTATTCCAACCAAACTCACTTATGAACTTCTGAGGTGAAAGCAGTATTATATCTTACACTACTGTGCAAAAGTTGGTGGTTGGTAGGATTTCTTTTTTTAATGTTTTTGAGAGAAGTCTCTTATGCTCACCAAGGATGCATTTTTTTTTAAATACAGGAAAGGCAATAATATTAAATATTTTTACAGTTTAAAATTATTACATTATTACTATTATTGTTATTAAGAAATAAATGTTATACATTTTTTTTTTAAAGTTTCTATTTGAATATATTTTAAAATTTAATTTATTCCTATGATGACAAAACAAAATTTTCAGCAGCCACTACTCCAGTCTTCAGTGTCACATGATACTTCAGGGATCATTCTAATATGCTAATTTGCTTAAGAAACGTTTTTTATTTATTTATTATTATTATCAGTGTTGAAAAAAGTCATACTGCTTAATATTTTTGTGGAAATCATGATAATTTTTTTTTCAGGATTCTTTAATGAATAGAATGTTCAAAAGATGTTGTTAATGCATGCTTACTGAATAAAAGTATTTAGAAAAAATAAACTCACCTAAAACTGTTGAACTGTAGTGTATTTACATTGGTGAATCATCTCATCAAAGTTCACCAACAAAATTGTCCCCCTGAGCTTGAGTTTCTCCCATGTTCTCATGTGTATGAGTGGAAGTGAAAGGAGCGCATGGAGTCTAGTGTAACCACAGCTTTACACTTCAAAGACGGTGTCATGTTGTTTTCTGTCGGCTGTGCAGGAGAATCAACACAAGACGCGTGCTGAGTGTCAAAGCAGCTGCGATGCAGCATTTCACTGAGATGCATCCAAAAGCCTGAGCTTACTTCTAAGCTCACCTAACACTATTCTTTTGCTGCCTTGCAAGTGCTGGAATTTCCTCTAGGAAATGCAAATCTAGTTAATCCAGCTTTCTGTTTTCTCTGCCTCATTGTTCCCTCGCTGTGTTTTAGATGCCGATGGCGTGAGCTGTGGAGAGGACTCTTTTGACCCAGATGAAGGGTTTTCCTCTGGGGCTTCCAGCAGCAGCCAGCCCAGCAGCGTGAAACGAGACTGGGTCATAACGGGCGTTCGACCTTTCCGAGATCCGGGAGCCAGGCAGAGGGAGAGCACTTCGGCCGACACCAGAGCCGCCCTTCGGAGCCTCCACCAACGGCACCAGTCCCCTCCCCCTGCCATCAGCCTCCGTACTGTAGAAAGCAGTCGCAGCCCGAGTCCCAGTGCTCCCAGATGCTTTCTGGACCCACATTACATCCCTCCCTTCGCTGGTGAGCCACCTAAAACCAGCAGCACGTCTTCTTGCAAGTCTCTTGACTGTACCGGCCTAAACGGCTCATCAGGACCTACAGATAGCCTGTCGCTGGGAAGCCTCAGTGCAGACAGGGCACATTATCTGTCAGCCATCAGCTTGCAGGATGAACGACTAGGGCGAGTGACGCGGAGCCAGGATCTCCTGTCCCCCGGGAGTCCGTTCTCCTCTGGAAGCCCACTGTCCAAACAGTCTCGATCACCCAGTTTTAATATGCAGATTATATCACAGGTGTAGAATGATTTTGCTGGGCTGTGTGTGTGCATGAGGATATGGATATGTTTATTTCTGCCATGGAATCAAATAAATAAATAAGTAAAGGTAATTATGACTTTTTATCTCATAATTTTGACCATGTTTCTTAAAATTCTGATGCAATATCTGACAATTCATATTTTTATCACATAGTTTTGTTTATATCTCACAATTCCGATTTTTTTTCTATATATAAACTCAGATATGATATATAAATTCACAGCTCAGAAACATTTTTTGTGAGATAACTAGCAAGATATCTTGTGAGATATACACTTGTAATAGAGGAAAAAGGTCAGAATTGTGAGATAAAATCACAATTAACTTTTATTTTTATTTCATGATGTAAAAACCAGAATTATGAGATATGAACTCAGAATTTTGAGGAAAAATTTAGATTTTCAAGATAGAAACTGTAAAAAAAAAAAAAATGCAATTGTGAGTCGCAGTTAACTTTTTTAGTTTTTATTCAAAATAAGTAGTTATAAAATTATATATTAAACTATAAAATAAAACACAAATTAGGCTATAGTGGCATTCATTATAAACAGCATACAAATGGCAAGCAAAACTGAAACGGCATTGGGCTCACGAGCCTGTCTCATACCACAAGAATCTTTATAACATTTGTTTGCATAACTATTATTCATTATATAGCCTAAACATGGGTTTATACTTCACTCGTGTTCTAATATCGGTGTAAAATCCTTCACATGCGCAAAAATGTTTGTTTGGGCGAAAAAAAAAAAAAAAAAAAAGATGATTTGCGAGAAAGTCAGAATTGTGAGATATAAACGTGCAATTCCAAGGAAGTCTCAATTATCTTTTTTATTTCGTGGAAGAAGAAAAAAAAGAATTGCAAGATGTAAACTCAGAATCTGAAAAAAAAATCAGAATTGTGTGATATAAACTCGCAATTGCAAGAAAAAAAATATTTTTGAATTAAAATCACAATTTATTTATTTACTTTTGTGGTGGAAAAGCTTCCATATGAGTGAGTGAGAGAGAGAGAGAGAGAAGCAGAAATGTTAACATGCATGCATACAAGCATGTTGTCTTACAGTGTGCGTGTGAATGTGTTCAAATGAGAGTGTGCTCGTAGACTTTTATTTGATCATTACATTATGCACTTGGGTTCAGTGTGGAGGAAATATTTGTTTTGCACAATGGACACATTCAAGTGCACATGATTTGAGACTGTTTTAAATGTGCCATACAAACATACAATAACAACATAGTGTTACTTTAAGAGGAACACACATTACCGTATCAGAGCAATGAACTTCCAACAACCGACAATCACGGTCAATGCAAAGAGAAAGGCCTAATAGTGCATGATCCAAAGAGTTTTATCCAGCCCAGCTGTACTGTAGGTCATCCTCAAGGAATCCTTTTCCATGTCTCTGTTTCGGTTTGTGCCGCTTAACTGTTGCCTGTGCTCTTCACCCACCATAGAAAATAAATTGTGTGGACTGCCTCAATAAAACGCTACATCGTGAAAAAAAAACAAAACAAAACAAAACAAAAAACAGTATATGTTGTACTTTGGAACAAGTTTATATTTTAAATTGTGTATATTTGTGTAAATGATTATTGTACTATAGAAAGAGTATATGCTAACAGAATCTATATTGCTTGGACAGAGATAGAAAGCTATCTGCTGAATGGTGAATAAATGTGCTGTTCATGGGAGCGCTCTCTCTTTCTTTTTTTCATTAGGTATCTTGACCTAAAGGATATTTTATATTGTGTATAATATGGTGGATATACAGTTGAGGTCAGAATTATTAGTCCCCTTGGTAAATAGGAGTAAAGAAGGCTGTGGAAATAAATCTGCATTGTTTATCCTTTTGATCTTCACAATAATCCAACCTTACATTTAAGTAAAACAACTGAAAGTGGGAGAAAATCACATTACAAAATAATGTTTTTCTCCTATACATGTTAATCAATGAGTAAAACCAAAGAATTTAGTTCTGATGTGCAGAGATTCAAAAAACGTCAACAAAAAAAAACAGAAAGGGGCTGTAAAGACATAGCTATTTCCACCTTCAGGGCAATAATTATGACATTTCAATCAAATGGAGATGTTACGAACTTGCCTGGAAGAGGTCGTGTGAGTGTCTTTGAGTGGCCAAAGACTCTCCAAGGATCACAGCTGGAGAATTGCAGAAATTAGTTGAGACATGGTGAGAAAGCCTAAAAAACAAAACAAAAAAAACAAACATTTATTTCATAATGAGATACATATAGTGTAATACCCACTATGTAGGCCTCAAGATGACTTAAAATGAATTACAACACAAAACAAACTTTCAATTAAACAAAAACAAAAACTGCTAAAAATCAAAACCTATTTCTTATTTTAATTCATTCTCTCAACAACCGTCATTTTATTTCTGAACCAGGATGTTGGAAAACCTGAATATATGACTTTCTCCCCCCTCACATTAGTAAGTCCTGCCAACTGCATTTCAAGAATGCAGTGAATGCTGCTTTATGTTAGCTAAAAGCTAGACAGTCCACTCTTCACTGACACTTACCGTAACTTAATAGTCACACCATGAGTGGGAATATTGTTCTTACATTTTTGACGTATAAAGATATTTTGTTGTTCATTTTGTGTGGCATTTCAAGAAAAATAGTAAATGATAAAAATTTGTAATAATAAAACAAATGCATTTTTAAATTCTTATACTCTAATATCTAATTATTAAAATATAAAAATAATATATACAGAAGTATAAACTATAGAAACAAAAAAAATCCTGGTTAAAAACTGGTAAATATTTTACATTTAAAATTTGTTTTACTTTAGTACAAGTATTTAATATTGCAAATAATCTTGTATACCTTTTATTATACTATACATCACATATATATATAGGACAAACCTTAGAAGCGCTGATGTTAACCATGTGACCACATGCGGAAGCTAACAGCAGAGTATATACTCTTTCCTATGGAAGATTCTTTACTCGAACATCACGTGTTGCTCAATCCGACGCATTTCATTGGCTGTTTTCGAGGCGGGAGTTTCAGATTCCTGGACATCCGTGATAACATTTCTTCGTATTCCATGTCAGCGCTCTTCTTTTAGTAAACTGGACAACCTATTAACATCTAAAAAATTGACTATTTTTTTCGCACCGGAGAGTATTTTAAACACTTGTGTCAGTCTAGTGGTTTGAAAAGGTGTGTTAGTGGGATCTAAAGAGCTGGCAATTGGATTACCGCCTTATTAGACAACAACTAACGTTACTGTCAACTCTCAACCAGTACGTCTCGTGCACAAGTTCCCTCGAGAACGTCAACTTAATCCGAGCTCGCGCTCCTCTCTTTCAACGGTCAATTTTGGGATATCATGAGCTCTTAGTTCCGCACAAAACTTGGTAGAAATAGTTATATATCTTCACCTGGACATGGATAACTACCGTCATCAGCGATATGAAGGCTCGAATCAAGGGAGGGAAAATAAAATCCATCGAAAGAAAGGATTTGGAGTCGGAGTGTCATCTCGGTGCAGTTCAAGTGGGGATGACGGAGAGAAGAAACCTAAATTTGTAAGTTACACTTTTTGAAATAATTATATAAAGTGTCTTTGTTCTCATAAATGGATATTATTCTAGTAAATTATCATATGTCCCCCACCCTGCCTACTGTCAGGCCTCTGGTAATGAATCACTGGTTTTTGAGTATTAGGAAAATGTTTACGTATTTATCAGTGTTTTGGTGCAATGTTTTGCTTTTTTGTTCTTACATTAATATTTTCTTGTCTGTCACTCTATATGGGTCAGCACTGTTAGATACTAAAATAACGTGTAAAATATTGTTAATCAGTATTGACATATCTAACTGAATGAATGACTGAAAATGAGTTTCAGCAAAACAATCACACACATGTATTAAATTATGTAAAATATGTAACCATCCCAAACAGCAGCCTAGCTTTGTTGAACTCATATATGGTGAAATATGGAAGTAAGATTTTGAGTTGATTTTATAAATGTTTTCATAGCCCAACAATGTTGACAAATTGTAGAGAATGTAGAGACACCGCTTTAAATGATAATTTTGATATAGTAGTCAAGGCCTAATAATAATGGTTCCTTAAGTTGTATAAGTTGTGTGTGTGTGTGTGTGTGTGTATAGAGTGATTATATAGTGATATATACTGAATTGCTATATAATTTTGATACAATAAGAAAATGAGATTGATTAATGTCAGAGTAGACATGTTGCTGATGATTGTTTAGTGAGGCGTTATGATGTCATTTTATTCTTTTAGAAGGACAGAACTGGCTCATTATTCTACAACGTAAAATGTCAATGAAATTCAAGGTATATCCACACAAATAATTTATGTTCATTATTAGAACTTTGTCAAGTTAGTCTGTGTCTGCTCTGTCAGTGCTCTTTGTTTCTTCAGTAATCAAATGTCTTATTTTATGCAAATTGTAGATATTTCTTAAAATTGACAGCATGATGGTTTTTTTATTAGATGGATTTAAGCAACAGCAACAATTATTTTTTGTTATGTTTAAACCGACAGCAGAGAGACAGATGAATAAAACACACCCACACACATTGAACCCCTCTTTCAATGCCATTAACTTAGTTGTTGACTGCCAGAGCTAAATCAAAGGATAAAATTAGCTCAGGGATAAGACAGAATTATCCAGTCTTGCTTTAGTGCTGGTGGAGTTACAGTATTGTTTTTGAATGCCCACCCAACATGTGCCATTAATATCAGATGATGGCCTTTTTACTTTTTTTTTAAATATCACCATGTGGTTTAAGAGAGGGGTTTTAAAACATTTGATGCCAAGTACCCCAAAATACCTTGCTAAAATAACAAGGCAGCTATATACACTTTAAAAATATGTATGATGTTTTAAAATGTTTTAGAAAGAAGTCTCTTATACTCACCAAGGCTGCAATTATTTGATAAAAAAACAACAACAGTAATTGTGTATAATAACAATATTATTTTCTTTTGAATATATTTAAAATGTAATTTATTCCTGTGATGGCATCTGAATTTTCAGTAGCTATTACTCCAGTCTTCAGTGTCACATGATCCTGAAGATATCATTCTATTATGATTTGGTGCTCATGAAACATTTCTTTTTATTATAAGTGTTGAAAACATTTGTGGTTTTTAATATTTTTATGGAAGCTGTGATACCTTTTCTTGATTCTTTGATGAATAGAAAGCTCTGAAATTGAATTCTTTTAAATTTAACAGATGTAATAATTTTCTTTAAAACCTAATGCCTTTATTGTATCACAGTGGGCCTCATTTATCAATCTAACGTAGAAACTGGCGCAGATCCTTGCACACAAATCAACTTACGACAGAGTTCATGTGAATGTGATGTGAATGTGAATGTGATTCATGAAACATTCGTATGCCGCCAATCTCATCGTACGAATGATCGTGTAGCAAATTAGCTCAAGAGGGAAATGTATATAAATAATTACAGTTAATTATGAATAATGACAATTATTTATATCAGCTGCCAGTAGTAACTGTAGCACAATTAAGCATTTTTGGCATTGATAAAGATTTTAACGAAAAGTAATCATTTGTTTTATGTTACTTTAAATCGTGAGTTCATATTTACGGTCATGTTACTCAAAGAAATGTTTGCAAAAAAATCACTAAAGTTTGCTTACGTCATATCATTACAGACTGCACGATAGTGCCACAACATATTTTCATGTCTGATCAGGGCGATAACCACCATAGACATTGAGGGGGCCTAGTCCCCTCAATAATTATAAATCGCTAAACCCTTTTCTCAAATATTGCCAATTGGAGAGTAGGGTTGGGTATTGTTTTTTTTTTTTCCGATACCGGTGCCAAATCGATACTTTTAAAACGGTTCCGGTGCCTAAACGGTGTCTGAACCGATACTTATAAAAAATAAAAATTCCCCCAAAAAATGATGGATTGACCATTAGAATAGAAATAGAATAGAGAGAGAGGGTCAAGTTTTTTAATAAAAAAAAAAGCAGATAAAATTAGAAGTAGCATTAGAATAGAGAGTGCTAGCGTTAGAGGGTCAAATGAAGATGAAAGAGATGTGTTTTCAGCCGTTTCTTGAAAATATTAAGGACTCAGCTGCTTGGATTGAGCTGGGCAGGTCATTCCACCAGGAGGGAACAGTTAATGTAGAAGTCCATGAAAGTTTTATCATGGGTAGAATGCAAAATGTTTTATTTTATTCCTTTTATAGACTTAATTTCTGTTTTTCTCCTTTCAAAGAAGCGCTGCAGGTGCATGATGCGACGATTTAATCCTCGTGATCTTGTTTACGCTGCTATTAGTGAATATAAAGCTAAAGCCCTGTATAAACACACCCCACACGCCGCACC